CAGGAGACGTCTGCTACGCCATGTGGGTTACCTCTGGGTCAGGGATCGAACTCCTGCTGAAGTGACTTTAGCTTCTTAGTGCTGTGCTTTAACCCACTGCGCCACCAGGAAGGGCTTCTTATAAACTCTTAATGGAACTTTGATGGTGCAGTCAGCACTGGATGGTATCACCAAGTCCAATTTTCCCCAGTGTAATTGGCCTGGCTGAGGGAAGGGAGAGGCCAGCAGGATCTTACCCTGTATCCCCTCAAGGACTACTTTGGTTTGGATGTGGGGTTGAGAGAGGGGAACACAGTGATTTGGCACCTCTGGTACACCTAGCAGGAGAGAAAGGTCTGAAACAGGACGTCTGTTTTGTGAATTCCTGTCCCTTAGGCTCCCACCCCCCAACCAGGTGAAGTTGACCCAACACAGTGATCTCAGTTAGGGTTGGGGGAATTTGTTAACAGACATGGAGGGTGAATTTGAAATTGTCTCTGAATCTTTTTCCTGAGTGGCACATTATAACCCGCCTAGAACATCCTGTGTTCTGATTATGGGGAAGCTGTGGAGGGGCAGCTGGCAAGGTGCTCTGTGCACTTCTAGATGAGCAAAAGAAAATGGCTCAGAAGTCCAGGTGCTGTGAGAAGACTTGTGGGTGTAGCTGCCAGAAATCTCCCTCCCCCAGCTCCCAGTGCCAGAGGGTTTTTATAAAATTCTTTGGATTGTCCCAAAAGATGGTTCAGTGAATCCTTTCTTGGGTGTGCACCTCAAATCAGTTTGGGAAACCGGTGCATCCTCCTCCAGGTTGGTGGACCGCAGCACACATCAGTATGTAAGGCCCTGGCATCTATCTCCCCCTTTCCACAGGTACCTCCAGTAACATTCCATGGACCCCATGAGCCCATGCCACTGGGCGTCTGCCCAGTCCCTCAGGGAACTGGAGCCTCTGTGCCCTCCAGCTCTCCCCGTGCTTCCTCTGGCTTCAGCCTATTCTCACAAGCTGGCTCTTTGGGTCTCCTCACTTCTTGGCCACTCTGATGCAAGACTTCCAGGTTGTTGGTGGCTGTTTTGGGCAGGACTGTCCCCCATTTCTTTGGGCACTGTCCAGAAATGTGTGCGCCCTGTTTTAGCAGCTGTGTCCAAGTTCTTCCATAAAGGCTGCAGAGATGAAGCTATCGCCAAACAGGGACAAAAGAAAGCAGCTGTGTCAGTGAACTTAAAAGGGACCTATGTTTTCTTCCCTCTCTTTCAGGTTATCTTTGCTTTGAATCAGACCCTCCTGCAGCAGGAGAGCCTGCGAGCAGGCAGTCTTCAGATCCCCTATACCACAGAGGATCTCATCAAGCACTACAACTGCGGGGACCTCAGCTCCGTCATCTTCAGCCACGACAGCTCCCAGGTGAGCGCCCTTGTCCTGTGCCTGGCACAGCATACATTTACATACGAGAATAAAGATATTTCCTGCTGACACCTGGAACTCCTGTCTACCAAAGAACAAGGTCAGGAAGCCTCTAAAAATAAAATCAGGCAGATTTAGATGTTGAATGGAGATGCTACAGCTAACAAAGGCTTTTTTTTTCTTTTTAAAAAATATTTGTTTATGCAGACAAGAACTGGGGTACAGGCTAGAGGGTGAGAGGATTCAACAGACAGAGTGGGGAACAGAACAGGTGGGTTGACTGAAATACAATGCTGAGGGGAGGAGCAGGCCGGACAGGTGAGGTCTGCTGTACCGTGTGGGTCAGCTCCCTGGTAGGGGATCGAACTCATGCTGCAGGGGCTGTGGCTAGCCATAGTGCTGTGCTTGAACCCCTTGCACCCCCAGGGAGGCCCTAACCCAGGCTTTCTTTATGAAACTGAAGAGTGGAGCAGGGCACTGATAAGGCTTAATTCCAAGACTGCGAAGGGTGATGTTTCAAGGGCTTCAGCAGATGCCTTCCCACACAGGCGGCACAAGTCCACTTTCAGGAGGCCAAGGCTGCAAGTGTCCCGGCTGACTTAGGTAACCCTTTTAAGAGATGATGGAGCAAAACGTTGGCTGCCGCTTTCAGCAGCTTCTGGGAACGTGCAAACCTGATGTAACTGGCAGTGCCTGTGGTGCCCCTGAGGGGTGGCACATGGGTTGCTGGGAAGGCCGCCAGTATTTGCAGACACAGGTTCCATCCTGAGCATTGCAAGTGTGGCCTCCCTGGTGGGGTGACTGTACACAGGACAGGTGTGATCTGTGGGGCATCACAGGGAGGGAGTGGCTGGTGGGGGCTCAGAGCCCTGAAAGCCTGCCTACTGGGGGGAAGTAGGGTGATTGTCCTGCTGTTATTGATGAGCTTCCCTTGGGGCACCCGACTTCCTTCCCTCACCCATTAAGATCACATGAGAGTGGCAGTGCTTCAGATAGTAATTTCGCAGTTGCTCTGATTTGTCTCCCCACCTTGTCCTCTCCCACCAAGTGTGCACCCTCAGCTCTACTGTTCTTCCTTGAATGTATCTCGTGCTTTCCCCTACCTCTGGTTTGTCTACCTTGGCTTTGCTTTCTCCCATTCTAGTATGCATAAATACCCCAGTTCTGTATGCATCAATAAATAATGTTTTTTTAAAAAGGTGTACATTGAACAAGTTAAACACATGGACATACTATTCGAAGACATATAGAAACGCAAGGCACCAACCAGCGTCTCCTAAACGGACCAGTAATATATTTTAAATAGCCTAAGAGTTTCTTCATGCACTTTTTTATTTTTTTAAACTTGGGTTGCAGGGAATGACACAGTTTGAACAAGCGGCCATCAGGAGACCCTGCGAGGGCCACGTCATGTGTCAGACGGCGTCTCTGTCCTCCCTGCTGGGTGATTTGAGGCTCACTTTAAGCAACTTTGTTAATGACTCTGTTGCTCTTAATTTTCCCCTCTTTATTCTGGCGGAGGTTCCCAATTTTATTAACGCCACGCTACCACCCCAGGAGCGCGTCACCGCGCAGGAAATCCACAGCTACTTCCGGCGGGAGCTCATCTACAAGCGCAACGAGCGGATGGGGAAGCGGGTGAAGGCGCTGCTGGAGGAGTTCCCCGACCAAGGCTTTTTCTTTGCCTTTGGCGCTGGTGAGCTGTGGGTTACCTACCTCTCTTAGCCCCTGCGTAGACCCTCGTCCATGAAGGGCATGCTAAGGTGGGCCCCTGGTGGGAGATGCGGTGAGGAGCTCTGTGTTCGACTTGACTCGGTTGCCAAGTGACTCTAGTTGCTGCCCAGTGTCCAGCGTGGTTGAAACTGCTGGACAGGCAGGTTCCGGTGACATCAGCACAGCTTCCTGTCTCTCCACCTGCGGCCCAGGATGGACTCCCTGCTGGGAGACATTTCTCTCTTTTCAACTCAGCCCATCATCCGACTCTCACTCTGGCAACTTTCAATTTTTCACTTTCACTAAAATTTGTCAATGAAGTGTAAGTTCTGAGGCTGATACATCAACTATTGCTGGCTTGTTTTATTAGTATTATTATTATAGCTTATTTTTACATCATTGTGTGCCTTTTCCCCTCTCAGTTGAGCTGTTGGTGCTTATAACAATGAACATGGAGACTGGGAAATTTCCAGGTGTGACCTGTACAGAGTCTGCTGCCCTCCTGCACTGGGGCTGAGCTGGGCCTTGCCAGAGTACCTTTCATCTGTGTTAGTTGCCTCTCATCAGTTTTGGGGTCACAGGACAGTGGTACTCAAAAATATAGTAGAATTCAGAACTGTTGTCTGCCACAAATACCTCCTTTGTTTGGCTTCCCAAAGCTGCTTTTAGCTGACCACTTCAAGCTGAGGTGTCAGGGGAGGGCGTGATCACGCTTCGGGGTCGGTGAGCTGCAGTTTGGATGACCCTCAAATTGCTCCCTGACTCTCTGACCAGTGAGTGTTCAGGTGTCAAAAGTGTGTAGGCTTGAACCGGACCGCCTTGGTTTAGGTTCTGCTCCGCTGTTTCTTGGTATTTTGAAGTCCTGACCCTATTTTACCTCACTCTTCTATTTTAAAGCAGAGATGAGAAAGAAACCTCTATCATGCTGTTGCAAGAGAGGCTGGAATAATTCCACTTGGTCAGCTATTTTGGGCATTAAATTGGCATAAACAGAAAGGACTTTGTGGTCCCAGAAAAAACATGAGTGGGCTCTTGGGTGAAGCCGATAAGCTAGAATATCCAGGCTTTGGGGTGGTGATGGGGAAACTTCACTAGTGAATTTTTTTTTAATAGGTTTATTTTTTACATCATTTTGTACATTTTTTTCCCATCTCAATTGTAATCCCCGCGGGTTTCCCATCACCAAGTCACCCGTGTGCCATCACCATAATCCCGTGCATTTCTCCCCCCCCCCCCGTTTTTGCTCCCATTCCCCACTCCGCCCCCACAACATGTCTCTGGTATATGGTTGTTCATTATTCTTGTTATTTTCTGCCTGGTCCATTATACTCCTGCTATGAGTGAAACCATCCGGTATTTTTCTTTCTCTTTCTGGCTTATCTCACTAAGCATGATCTTTTCCAGCTCCATCCAAGTTGCTGCAAAAGACATGTGTTTCTCTTTTTTGGTTGCTGAGTAATATTCCATTGTATATATGTACCACATCTTTTTTACCCAGTCATCTACTTTTGGGCATCTGGGCTGCTTCCATGTTTTTCCAATTGTAAATAAAGCAGCAATAAACATGGGGGTACAGGTATCTTTTTCAACCAGTATTTTTGTGTCTTTTGGCTAGATACCTAGGAATGGGATTGCTGGGTTGTAGGGAAGCTCCATGTTTAGCAGTTTGAGGAACCTCCAAACAGTTTTCCATAGTGGTTGTACTAGTTTGCATTCCCACCAGCAGTGCAGGAGAGTTCCTTTTCACCACATCCTCGTCAACATTTGTTGTTGCTAGTTGTTTGAAGATGTGCCATTCTCACCAGGGTGAGGTGATATCTCATTGTGCTTTTAATTTGCATCTCCCTTATTATGAGTGATGTTGAACATTTTTTCATATGCCTGTTGGCCATCTGCATTTCCTCTTTGGAGAAGTGTCTTTTTAGCTCTTCTGCCCATTTTTGATGGGGTTGTTTACTTTATTTTTGTTGAGTTTCATCAGTTCTCTGTATATTTTTGTGATCAGTCCTTTATCACTATTGTGTGAGAAAATGTTTTCCCAATTAGTGGGCTGTATGTTTGTTTTTTGTAATGTCTCCTTTGCTGTACAGAAGCTCTTTAACTTGATGTAGTCCCATCTATTTATCCTTGCCTTCACTATTGTGTCGTTGGGTGCTGTCTTTAAAGATGTCGCTGAAGTGTATGTCGTGTAGCGTTTGACCCATCTTTGCTTCTAGGTATTTTTTTTTTTTAAGATTTTATTTATTTATTCATATAGAACTGGGGTATAGGCCAGAGATGCGGAGGGTGAGAGGATTCACCAGAGACAGAGCGGGGAGCAGAACAGGCAGATCGATGAAGTACACTGCTGAGGGGAGCAGCGGGTGGGCTAGGAGAGGTCTGCCTTGCCATGTGGACTCCTCCGAGGCAGGTGGGAATTGAACTCATGCCGAAATGGCTTAAGCTTTGTGGTGCAGTGCTTTAACCCGCTGCGCCACCAGGGAGGGCCTGCTTCTAGGTATTTTATGGTTTCCGTTCTTATGTCTAGGTCTTTAATCCACTTCGAGTTGATTTTTGTGACTGGAGTGGGCAGTGATCTAGTTTCATTTTTTTGCATGTAGGTGAATATTTTTTTTTTTTTTGTAACTCTTTTGCTTAATGCTTTTGTCTCAAATCTTAACTTAATGCCAGGCTTACTTCCTGTTTTGCCAACTTAAGTCTCTGGGCATAATCCCATTTCCTTCTTCAAGATCTAGAGAACAGCTGTCAATTCTGAACATCAAAACCTGATATTGAGAGATGTAGTAGGGCTTGGACTGAAGCCCAGGATCTACCCTTGACCTTTAAAATATTTATTTTAAGATACTCTTGTAAGAGTATCTGGTTGATCTTTGCTGCTTTTCATTAGGAAGAAAAAATGTAAAAGAAACTCAGACTGAGGTTTTTTGCTAAATTGAGGATTTTATTGTGCATTTCTAATTCCATGTAGGGTCTCAGAAGTAAGTGGTAGTTTATATAGATGAGAATTTTTAGGGGTGCTGGCACTGGTTTCAGAGGCAGGAGGTTGGAGTTTGCTATCCTCTTAGCCGTGTGACTTCAGGGGGCTCCCAGTGCTGTGTTATCCTATGTCCTGATCTCTGAAATGCTGCTTATCTTGCCCCACCTGCCTGCCTGGCAGGGCTGTTGGAAGGCTAACTGCTGATTCTGGCTGGACAAAGAGCAAAGGAAGGGGTTCAGGGGGTTATTTCCTTGTGCCATGTCTATTTGGGGATGTGGGATCATGTGTGTAGTCACATTTCTGGCCTTTTACACAGTGATTTTACTAAAGTAACATTGATTTACACAGTGTGTTTTGGAAAAAAATGTTTTGGGGCATAGGCTTACTTTCTGCAAATCTGACTACTTTTTCTCCCACAGGTCATTTCATGGGCAACAACACGGTGCTTGATGTTTTGCGGCGCGAAGGCTATGAGGTAGAACACGCCCCTGCTGGACGACCTATCAACAAGTAACCTTCCTGTGCTTCTATCCTGGTTGGGGAGCAGCCAGGGAAGCCAAACCCCCCTGTGCCGGCCTGAGGTCCGGTCCAGGGTGGGCTGCATCCTGAGAGGCGCCAGAGGAGCTCACACAGCCATTCCCTTGGGCTGGGAAACATGGCCACTAGTGGATCCTTGGCTTAGTGGCATCCTGCTGTGACTGGGCTGTGTCTGGTGGGCTGGTGGGGCACCTGGGGCACAGAGGACCTTGTCCTCAGGCAGCTGCTGGGGACAGAAAAAAAGGTGAAGGGAAACCTGATCCGTGGTCTTGGGAGCTCCAGGAGGAATGAGGAGGCGTCATGTGCGGTGCCTTTCATCACGGGCATTTTGGAAACTTTAGGGAGGTAGGTGGTAGAATTGGCATCACGTAGGTCAGAGGAACTGGAGGTACAGGAGAGCCCAAATCTTCAAATTTGCTCTCCCAGGGTTGTAGATGGGTCGCTCCCGAGGCCTCTCCCTGGCTTGCTGCCTTGCTCTGTCCCCACGTGGCCTCTCCTTGTGTGGAGATCCCTAGTCTGTTTCCAGCTCCACTCTCCTTCCAGTCAGACTGGATTATGGCCTGCTCTGACAGCCTTGTTTTAACTTGATCTCTTTTTTTAAACCCCTATCTACAAATACAGTCATGTGGTGAGGAATTGAGGGCTGGTGTTTCAGCATATACATTTTTGGGGACATATTTTTATCCCATAATCCCCTCTCCATTCTCCTGTTGCCCATTTCCTCAGACAGTGGTCATCTGTGCCCCCTCCTGGCAGAGCTCAACTTGGTGAGAGTATTCCAGGATGATGCTGTACCCGCTGCTGTGAGGATAGAGGGGGGGCTTTAGCTGTCCTGTCTGCCCTTGCTCAGCTGTGTTTCTCCTCGAAAACCCATCTTTACCTCATGTTGTTGTCTTGATCCAAGTCCTCTCCTGGCCCCCTCACTCCAGAAGTTCCTCCCTGGCAGTCCAGTTTCCATGCCAGGCTTCTTCTCAATGGTATCTTGGAGGTTCCTGGGGCTTGTCCTTAAGTTGCTCCCACCCCTCTTCATATCCTACATTTCAGTGTATTTAGTGTACATATTCAGTGGATGTGAAGTAAATACCTATGTGCTCAGCCTCTATAAAGCATTGTGCGTGGGATGTTTTAATTCTCACAGCAACCACGAGCTTGGTCATCTTTACAAAAGCAACAGAGGCTCAGGAGGGCTAATTATTCTATCCAAGGCTCCAAGCCTGGCCTCCTTCTGGGATATCATATGTCCTCTTGTGGGTATGCCCAGGAGTGAGGCCATGTCAATCAGGCATTTCTTGCAGACATCCATGGTAGACTGAAATGCAGGTAAGGGACAATCAAAATGAGAGGATGCAATATTGGGGCCAAATGTCTATGAACTTAGCCTTTATGAGTAAATAGAGGTTTAGCTAAAGTTTGGGACTTCTAGTGGAGCAAAAGATGGTAACGTGAACCCTGAACATGGGGTGCATGGGCTAGTCCAGCAGCTGTGGGGTGGATTAATAGTATTCAGCAGCTGGAATTCTCTGTTTCTGGCAGAGAAGCAGCAGTTAGAACCACTCAGCCTCTGATCTCTGTGAACAACTGCTTTTACTTAGCAAGGAACATGAACTCATGGTTAGAAGTGAGCCCCGTGACAATGCTTATTGCAGCCCCATTTGCAAGAGCCAGGTACCACAGCAGCCCCAATGCGCACCCATAAATGACTGGCTCAAGAAGAGGTGTTGGAGCCACACAGTAGAACATGTTCATCTACAAGGGAAGGTGAAAAGCAGCCAAGCAAAATGGAGGGGATTTTGTGTAGTAAATTCAAGGGGATTATGTCTAGTAAAGCAAGGTAGAATGATAAAGACAAATACTGGACACTTATGTGGATACACAGTAAATACTTAACCAGAATGAGCTGATATTAACACACCATGGCTCTGAAGTTAAGAGGGCAGGCAAGGGAGAAAGGAACAGAGGATATGGTGTGGGAAAATAGGCCAAAACAACAAAAAGAGACAACCTGTGAACACTGGTGTTTCCTCACTGGGGGTTGGGTATGGGGTGGCTTTCAACAGCCAAAAAGTCTCTCTCTATTTTCCAAAAAGTTTCTTTTTGAGTAAAGCCCCCCTTCTAAGGGCACACAAAGGACTAAGAGGACTCAGGGAGACTTTACTTGTTTAAGAAAATGGCACTTAAACACATTTTTTAACTCCCTTTCAAATGCAGTAATCTTCAGTGACTTTCCAGACAGTGGTGACCTGCTGTTAGAGAAGGGTGATTATCTGCAGTTAAAAACAAACCTTATATTTCTCCTCCCCACAGCTAGGGGGTTGGAGAATGTAGATGAGGGGAGATAGAAATGATCATTCTTGAAATGGCTTTATGACCCTACCCTGTCTAGTAGGCTTGAGTTTTCACAACATTATTTGCTGTTGGGAGCTCCTGGGCCTTAAGGTCAGGGAGGGTGCCATGTGACCCTTCTCCAAATACCTCCTTCCTACCCTTTTACAGAGAGAAGACTAAAAGTCCCTCCTCTCAGCCTACCTCCTCCGCCATCTTTGTTCCGGAAGTGGCCTCCCAGGTGGGGCTGGTACCTGAAGCTGAGTCTGAGGTGCTCTCACTATTGCCCCCCCATCATGTGTCCCCTCTGGGAAGTGACAACATGCCCGAGGCAGAACGAAAGTTCCGGAAGAAACGGAGGCGACCTCACAGGAAGCAGCGGCTCAGGCAGTTCAGCGACCTGTGGGTCCGACTGGAGGAGAGGTGAGCAGGGCCCTGCAGCTCCTACTGACCAGGCCAGGGTGGCCTGCATGGTATTCACACCAGACCTGAGCCAGGGTAGGGGAGAAGTCAGGCCCTGGCAGTGATCTGCATGGCCTGCCTATGCCTGTGCGTGTGGTCAGTGGTCTGATGATGCCTAGAGGCTAACGGGCAAATTAAATCAGAATAGGGCCTTTCTGCACTTAATTGTTATAATCCCAGAACCAAGAACCAAACAGTCAGGGGAGGGAGAGTTGCCTAGTGTACTAACCTTAGTGCCTCTATCATTTGTTTTGTGTTTTGGTAATGAGGGCTCAAGACACAGGCAACCTGTTAACACACTAACGTTCATTTCTGCCTATAAAGAAGGGAGATGCAGAAGTTGTGCAGGCTTTTGGGGTTGGAGGCCTCTTAGAGTACCGAGGGGCTCCTGCTGTGTCCTGAGCCTGTCTTCTCCTTTGCTTCCTAGGGCGGTGGTCCCACAGTTCCGGGTCCCCATTCTGGAGAGGCACATCCCTGCCGAGCTGCGGCTCCCTCGCCATGGCCATTCTCACCACAGCCAGATGGTGGCTAGCAGTGCCTGCCTATCTCTCTGGACTCCTGTGTTCTGGGCCCTGGTGCTGGCTTTCCAGACAGAAACACCCCTGCTGTGACAACACGAAGAGCCAGAAAAAGCCCCCAAACCCTTGGACGTGCAGGGTGACTATCGTGAACTTTCTGCTCTAGTCCGGGCTTGACAGAAGAGACTCAGGATATAAACCAGTGTTTCTTTTCCCAAGGAGGGCTTTGGTTATCTAGCAAAGCTTCGGGGAAATGTACGGTTTTTTGTAACATAATGAGTTGCATGAAATTAATTAATTGTAAATGAATTGTACGAAAATAATTAAATATCTCTTGTGGTGTACTTTTCCTACAACAGGATGTTTACCTCATGCAAAAAACTCCTTTGCTCGCACCCTCAGCTCTCTATCACTGCTTCATCCTGGCCCTCACCCCAGGCCTCGCTGCCGCTGTGAATCCTGCCCTTTCTTCTTCCTGCTGCTCTTCTCCCTGCTCACTCTCTGTGCTGGATACAGGGGAGTCACTGGGCCATGCGACGTTAATTCTGCTCCTCTTTATTCCAGGTTTGGTGAGCAAGGTGCCCTGGGCACCCTGAAGTGCTTTTATTATGTGTAGTTTGCACCTCAGCAGAGTGCTGAAAGCGGTGTGGATGGGTAGACTTTGTCAGAGGTGCTGGGCAAGAAAGTGGTCCTCAGTCTTCCCCCTCCTATGTCATTTATTACTTATGTCTTTTTCAAATAAAATCTTAATGTGGAATCTCTATACAGTGAGTAAAAGCACAACTGCCCAGCTGAGTCTGAGATGGGAACTTCCGGCTCTGCCCAGCGGATCTCCACCTGCCCCCTCACCCTGCTCCCACTGTCATCACAGACCAGAACCCGCCACATGAGACAGGGCTGCCTGATTGTCCTCTTGGGCCTTTGGGAAACATTCAAGCCAAGGTGTCTACCAGAATACTTAGGGGGCTCATAACAGTAGATGTGTTTATTTCTATCTAGTTTAGGGATGCTTGTCTGGGTTCATTCTCAATCATTTCCAGGGCCCAGATCATCTTTGGGACCTGACTGAGAGTGGTCTGGTGGTACCCAGAAACTGTGAACCTTTGCTGTATTCTGTCTCTCCTGTGTTGCGTGGGGAGAACTGAAACTTCCCGTGAGTTCTGCTATGACTGGGACTCTCCTGAAGAGCTCCACTTATGTGAGATCTGGAAGGTGGAAGGGGGCCTTCATATTTTTTACACTCGTGTAAGGCAGTCCCTCGGTGGTGACAGTCACATGCAGGTTCTGGCAGACATGAGTTGTGCAGTGGCCCGGCTCTGCCCACCCTACTGCTAGTCATCTGCTTACTGAGGGTGTGTTAGTAGTGAGCTTGGCAGTTTCTGGCAGCTTGCAGCTTACTGACCTTGGGTCCAACTGTGGTGGTGGCTGATGTTAAGCCCCTCTGACTCCTGCAGCTGCAGCCAGTCCCTTGGCATAACAACCACCCATTGTTGCTTGAAATGCCCAAGAGTTTCAAGAACTCTGGCTAAGAGAAATGGTCTGATAGGATTACTGTGAATGGACCTGTTCTTCCAACTTTCTGAAAGGGGATGGTGTGATCTTTCCAGGGACCCACACCCTGGGACCTGGGCTTCATGGCTCATGTTCTGGCTGAGGAAGCAAATAGACTTTCCTTGGCAGAGCTGACACAAAATGACTTGCTGTGGTGGCTGCTGCCTCTGAGCACTGGCCTGATAGTCTCTGCATTTGTCGTGGCTCTTGGGAGGGATTTGACCTGTTTCCACACAGGTTCAGTCTAAAGCGAAAAGGGAGAATTCCTCTGCACTGGAGCAGAACTAACCCGCACTGTGGTGAAAACACAGTGCTTTTAAGGATTGAAAGGGGGGAAGTGGCACCCTGGGCCAAGGTCTTATTCTCCTGCTCTACCATGTGTTGCGGTCACTCTGTCAAGCTCCCAGCAGTGACCTTGAGCCTTAACATGGCTTTTAAAAAGAAGCACCTGCAGCGTGCTCTGGGCCTTTTACATGAGTTGGACGAGGGAGGAAGTATGTGTGAGAGGAAGCTCTGGGTTCTGTCGGGGAGTCTCCTGAGGGAGCTGCCTGGCTCTCGCGTGGGGTAGAGGGACCCGGTTTAAGAGATGGGGCAGAACCCACGGCTTCACATCAGAGCTTGAATTTCCAATAGAAAGAAAAACTCAAACATTTTTATTTTAGGTTATAAGAGAAATAAAAGCTACACTTAACTACTCTTTAAGTCAGAGCAAAAGTAACTGTTTGCTCACACATAAGTTTTGCAGATTTTCCTCACCATCAGAGCCCTCTGGTCTGCTGCTTTTTCAGCACTGAGGTGGCATCTTTTCATTCATTCAGCTGGCAGAGCAAAGCTGATCCCTTGGCAATCCAATAGTCTTTGGAGTGTTTGGAGGGTAAGAGGATGGTCACCACAAAGTTGGTGGAGTGACCTAGTTAAACATATAGGGAAAAGAGAGGGTACAGGTTACGTAAAGAATAACCCCTGGATACAAAGAGCACTGTACTAGACGTGAAGACACTTGGCTGTCAGACCTGACTCTGTCCCTAAAGGTAAGGGGCAAATACTCTGTGGAGTTTTGCTATCCCTGTAAAAATGCCAGAACAAAGGGTCCTTTGGAATCTGTCCAAAATAGACTTTATATAACTTTACGACTTTCAAGTCCTCGGCAGTCTGATTCTGGGTGTAAGATTCGGCCTGAGTTTTAAGTGGGGCTCAGGGGTGGCAGCTGGTATGTTGAGGCTCCATTCATGCATCCATCTGCCACCTATTATTTCTTCAAATATTATCACCCTTCCCTTCTCTATTTTCTCCTTCCAGATCATCTACTAGATAAATTTTGGCATTTTCCACAATATCACTTTAATTTTTTAAAAATTGCACTGGGCAGGTGTGAAAGTATACATCTGTTTGGACCTATAGCCTCGGGAGCAGATACAAAGATGTAAACCTACTTTACCTCAGTAAACATAGAAAAAGCAATTACACTGCTGTATTTTGAGGGATTTCCTCAGCTCATTTGATTTGCTTACTCTTTCACTGTCTACATTCAATTCTTCAGCTTATCTGTTGCTATGGCTTTCTTTTTCTGGTTCCTTTTCTTTCAGGACTGTATCCTAGTTTCAGGTTAACTCAGATGTCCATTTACTATGGGATATATTTTCTTTGAGTTTCAATGTATTTGGTGAGACGCTTTGGTATGTGCATGGCTTTGAAATGAGATGCTATTACTCAAGCAATTTTCTAGTCATTAGGCTAGTAAAAGCAAGCATTAGTTTTACGATATTGATTCACACTCAGTTTCAAAGCACACAGAATTAATAACATTAATGCGCTTAACTGTCCTCGTTTTAAGCTCAATTAGCCCTAGAGCACCCGCTGCACATTTGAGCTCAGCATTTAGACTTTGATTGCATTTTGCATTTGGCCATTATTGGCGCCAATCTCAGCGCCTCCTCACCTGTTGTCGACAGTGTGCCTGCCCTGGCGCCTGTTTTATAAAGCGGGGAGTGGTAAAGTGTTGGGTGTGGCTCGTAGTTTTGTTGAGGTTCAAAATGCACCACAGGGAGCATTGGATTCATCTGTCCAGGCAGCGCGTCTTCTATCACCATCTCCTTATCATCCCATCGAGAAGCATCCATGAATATCCCATGAACCAGAACGCCATCATCAGGAGAGGGCAACTGAAAGGTAGCCCGAATGAAAAGGTCAGAAAAGAAGAGGATCAAAAGTGGCAGGTCAGCTCCCATTTCCCATTGCATACGAAACACTAGAGAGTGGTGCAATTATCAATATTTTAGGGAGAATACTGAAAGGTAAAAGAACTTTCTTTCTTGGGCCCTTCCTGGTAGCTCAGCAGGTTGGAGCACAGCACTGCAAAGATGGTGGTGGCTTCTTCAGTGCAAATTCGAGCCCCAGCCCTGAGTGACCCACATGGGGTGGCAGACCTCTCCTGACCTGTCCACTGCTCCCCTTAGCAGTGTACTTTGTCTATCTGCCTGTTCTGCTCCCCACTCTGTCTCTGGTGAATCCTCTCACCACTCCTGCACCTCTGGCCTGTACCCAGTTCTGTATGTACAAATAAATAAAATATTTAAAAAAAAAGTGACTACGTTGGTAAATAATTGTATTTAAAAAAAGAACTTGCTTTTTCTTTAATCTCCTACTTTTCATATTCTACCAGGATGTCTAATAGGGAATAACCCCGGGAAGCTTAGTTAGAGCCATGAGACTCTTCAGTGTCATGATGTTATGTTTTTCCTCTTTTCAGGAGAAGCAGAAGGGATAAGAAGGCTGTGATCGTTACCTCTTTATTTTTAGTGAGGTCTTTCAAGGATTTGGGTGCCTTCCTAGAAGACAGATTATATATTTGCAATATTTGCAGAGTGCCAATGGAAAGTCCTCCCTCCCTTGACACCATTTTTTTAACCCTTGGTTTTTTTCTTTAAAGATTTATTTATTTATGCATACAGAGCTGGGGTACAGGCTTCACCAGAGATAGAGTGGGGAGCAGAACAGGCAGATCAGTGAAGTGTACTGCTGAGAAGAGTAGTGGGTGGGTCAGGAGAGGTCTGCTGCACCATGTGGGTCACCTTCCAGGCCGGGGATCAAACTCACACTGAAGCAGCCAAAGCCAGCTTCAATGTTGTGCTCCAACCTGCTGTGTCACCAGAGAGGGCCCGATACAATGGCATTTTAAGGGAAAGTTGAGAGAAAGCTCCTCACCCCAGTGACATTGCCTGGCTAGTGAATGTCTTGACAAAAACAATATGGAGCAGATCTTTGATCGTGGTACATGTAAAGAATTGTATTTATGAAGCCCCCTGGGGCAGACAGCTGCTTTGAGGTGGAGGCTCCTCTTCCACATCTTTAGCTCACTGCATGAAGCTGGGCAGCTCAGATTGGCAGTTTCTCACTTCCTGGCTATATATTGGACTCACCAGGAAAGCTTTTAAAGAACAATGATGCCTGATATAATTGGAGTGGTTCTGATGTAAACTGGTCATTAGGGTTTTTAAAAAGACCTACAGGTGATTCTATCTGCAGTCAAGGCTGAAAAATCACTGATGTTCTAGAACAGTGGTTTTCAAAATTCAGGGGCTAAGAGCACCGTAAAACTTGTTAAAATATGCATTTCCAGGTCTCAGTTTCTGAATCAGTAGCTCTGGAAGGAGCCCCTGAAATCTGCATCTCTAATAAGTTTACAGGTGATACAGATGCTGCTGGTCACACTTTTGAGAAAGTCTGCTCCAGAAGGAGTAACTATGTAAGCTGTTTGAATCACTTCCTTAGTGCATATCTCTTAGTTTCCTAATGTAGTGGACATTATAATAAAGTATGAAGTTAGCATGTCAGTTCTTCTAGGGGGCAGCTGGATGAACGAGCAGGTAAGTCCCACCTATCACGCGATCATCGACTGTGGGCGTACTGCGTGCTGATCACCTAACACCCGTGGTGTCGGTTCCTCTACACTACAGCTCTGCAGTTGGTGGCCTCAGCCCCACTTTACAGATGAGGACACTGAGGTGCTGACATGCTTAGTAATTGCATTAGTACACACAACTGGTGAGGGGAGGTCAAAATTTAACTCAGGCCTGCTTCTTTCTGAAACCCTTGTTTTTACCAACTGGCTATATTGCTTTAGCAAGAAGGAGAAAGTGTGGGTAGGTAAAGAAAGCAGTGCTGATTTACAACTAGTTCTCAAAGACTGCTGTAGGTGGTTCCCATATAGTTACTGCTAATTGGGGAACTTGGATGGGCTGTGCGAGTCTGCTCTGCCCCTCTTAATCCTAACGTGGGAGGTGTTAGGGAAGTGGGGCAAGGCCTTAAATCATCTGAAATATTGAATGACAGCAGGACAGAGCTTTACCACAGCAGCCAGGGGACACTACCTCCTTGTCCATGGGTAGTTCTTGTCCAAACTGTATTGTCTTGGCAGCTTCTATAACTGCAGCTTGATCCCGGTAGGTAGCAACCATGTTATACTTGAAACTCAACTCATCAATAGGCAAATTGTATTTACGAGCATGATTTTGAAGAGTTCCTGCAAATATGAAAACCAGAAAGACTAGTCTTCCAAACAACACTGCTACTGCCCAAAGGGCCTCAACTTGCCCCAGCCAAGCTGCTCTAGCAGTAGAGGGCTTCCTCTCCTTTGAGAAGACCCAACCACTATTACTCTATTTTGAGTTAGTCCTAGAGAAAGGATGCCTGTGGTGATTGAGTCTGGGAGGGTGGAGCCAAGTCTTGTATGAGTTTTGCTCATGACTGGGGAGACAGGAGGGGAAATGGCCTATCTGAAGTATACTTTTTTGCCATTGAGATAAGCCAGTGAAGGGGTTTCAGAGTTCGATCCCTCCCACTAGCCTCTTGCACAGTGTGTTTTCTATGGGCTGTTGTTAGAATTCAGAATGAGCTGGATTAAGGACGGAGCTAATGAGCATCTGGTAGCTGAAGGGCCCTGGTCCCTCTGGGAGAACCTAGCCAGGATCCCCAGGGGCTGCTGGCGGGACATGAAGAGTACTTTTAGAGAGAAATAAGCTGCTGGGAATTGGGTAGAGCAAGAGGGAGCAGGGGACCTTGAGCCTGTGGTCACATGGAAACTGGGGCACTCTGTCCACAGGGCCAGCGGCACGCTCAGTTATGTAACCTGCGAGGGGCAGGGATTCATTGTTGGGCAACACCTGCTATTTCTGCCCTCCTTTCTCCTGGCAAGTGAGAAGAGTGGAGACTTACTGGACAGCCCTACAATTACCGGCCACGGTCAGGCCATTGGGAGCCAACCCACTTCCCAGTTCTCACAACCCAGTATATCACAAATTATGTTATTTGTAGGGAAAGCAATGGTACCTGTTAGAAATCCTTGAGGGAAGAAGAAACCAGAGATCCAGAAGGACTTTGGCTGTCCTCTTTTGAGCCACAACTAAAGGACAAATGCGTACATGTTGTAATTTTTTTTATCCCACTGAGATGAAAGTTATCATTTGAGTCAAAGTTATATTTTGGAGGACTTCTTAGGAGGCAGAACTGAAACCAGTCTAACCGAGTAAACAGCTTCATTCTCATGTGTGCCCTGTCCTAGCTACTCACACACCAGCCGGCCATAAATGCAGAACCTGGTTACAACAGAGGGCACAGAAGAGGGATATGGTGGCAAGGGCACACCGACAATTTGGACCCATGTCAGAGTGGTTCTGTATTTCACAGTGGGTCCCATGAACTAGACCTGAAACTCCAAGGATGGCCTCAAATTAAAATGGAAAGTGGGTAGAGGAAAGTGGGGACAAGACCCCAGGGTAAGCAACATTATAATCAGCACAAAACTTTCAAAGTGATGCCATTCTGGAAGTTTTCTGGTGTTTGGACTCAGACGATCCCCTAAGAGTTGCGAAGTTTTCAGTTAACTAGACCTTCTTAAGGGCCTTAGGATCAATCATGTTGCCAGATTCATCAAACCACAAAGAAATACTTTTTCTTACGTCCACAAATGCAGTCCTCAGAATAAGGTCTTTGACCCATGATGCTAGTGGCTTCAAGGATGGGTAGGCTGCGTTGGACCAGAGGGAGGGAACCTGGTTGTTGAGGAAACTGTGATACACCTTTTCCATTTCTTCAGACATCACTACAAGTCCTGCAATGGCTTTGTTGAGCATTCCTAGAGAATTCTGAAAGAACAAAAAAGGGCTGGCATCCTTCACAGATAAGAGTTATCAGGTAGGAATAAGAGTTATCAAGAGTTTTCTATGGCTGCTGCCATGGTGAAGGGCCTGCTCATTGGGTTCCATCCTCTCTGCTGACCCCTTCAATCTTCATTGAACTTTTTATAATGTGACCACTGGTTATAAGACCTGAAGGGCTTATAGTAGAGGTGAGTTCCTTACTTATTATTGGTGGGTTATTATTGTTTGACCAGAAGTGACCTTGGCGACTTGAGAGCTACAGTTCTTCACTTACATGTTCAAATAGTCAGGGAAGACTCAGTATATGTGGAGCACCAGGGAAACAAAGAAGACTACTCTACCTTTTCAAGAAGTTCACTGCTTACTGAGGAGCCATATTCCTAGCAGGGATGTTACACTGTACACAAAAGGACAGTGACAGACACAGATGCTGACAATGATGGAGCTCTGAGGAGGGGTTCCTAATCCCCCAGCAGAGGAGGCAAGAGCCTATGTTTCAGGAAAGGTTTATGGAGGAAGTGAGATTTGGACTTGTCTATATTCAGGAGGTGATTTATCATAATGTGGAAGAGGGAGAGATGAGCAGCACTGATCTCTCTTATTTCTGACCAATAGTACTCACTTTGTTTTTAGTTGGGCCCAGAACAAACCATCCAGTCTGTTTCCCAGTCACCCTTGAGCTGAGGTGTGGGATACAAACTGAACTGACGTATGCAACATCTAGATCACATTTTATGAGGGAGTTGCTTTCTTCTCCACCCCTGCCTAGTGAAAGGGGTCAACTGGAGCAGCCACCTTAGACCAAGAGATGGATGCTACCTGTTGAGAGCAAATTCCTGAGCTAGAATCCTGATTAGCTCACAAAGCAAGACTAATTCCCTGCTTTACTACTTCTGGGCTGTCAGTGAAAGAAAAGGGACTTTCTACATTGTCTTAAACACTGTGTTTGGGCCTCTTTATCATAGAGCTTAATCTGTACCCCAATTCATTCAGTATAAGTGATGAACCCCAACCTGGCTACCTGACCTGCTGACAGGTGCTGGAGCGCGCGCGCGCACACACACACACACACACACACACACCATGACTAGACACTGGAGTCCAAGGTGAAGGTTTCACATATTCAGCTAAACTTCTTGTCCCCCTAACCCAAAAGCTTATGCATTGCCAGGCAACCAGTAACATTTGGAGACTGCTTTTCTAACATGGACAGGTAGTCTTTGGCTTTAGAAGATCGATCCCAGATGTCCTGCCCCATCTTACCACTAAACCTTGACTCTGTGCTAAGTATTTAGTTCCCTGGTTGGCAGTAAAAGTTCTCCTGTTAGTAGTGCACAGTATTTGTTCTGTCATAGTTTCTGTGTTTCTCTTATCAAAGTTATGCCCAGAGAAGTCAGGAAGACCTTTAGCCATCGTTTTAAATTCAAGGCCATCTGAAGAGAAAGTATTCCTGAGTATAAGGCAAAGGACAAGTTATTCTCAAATTTTAGTTGCAGTGAAATCATTATTTAAAATTCATATTTCCAGGAATTCCTCAAGGAATTCTAACTCAGCAGGTCTGGAGAAGGAGCAGAGATTCTATATTTAGAACACGCCACGTAGCAGATACTAAGGTAGATTTTTGTGGCCGCGTGTTTTACACAGTCTTTGAAAAGACTGTGTTATGAAATGTGAACTAGATATAAGAACAGATCTAAATCTCTCTCAACTGAGTGCTTAGCTCTGGTCAAATTTTTAGTGCATCAATGGTAATTTTAAGCTAGGATCATGAGAAGACTGAGGATCTGTAGTGTTATATACTCACTAAACCAGTAGAAGCAAAAGGGAAGGCAGACTTGTTAATTTCATTTGGTCTTGAGGAGTTGTGAGCATACCCAATGGAACTGTTGAAGTGATGGGAAGGGAAAAGTCTAAACACACTCATATTATTATATTTGTGGCCCTACATGGATTAAATGCAGCAGACTGTTGAACCGGTCCACTTCTTGTCCCAGGACAGTGGTCAACGAGTTAAGGCGTCCTTGAGGATCCTTGACGAAAAGGGTCTCAGAAGCAGTCTCCATGTCTAGTTTTTCTGAAACACACACAACTGATTGCTCAGGTGAATTATCCTTGATTTCTTTCCTTATAATAATACATCATACTAACAATGCAGTTACCTAAACCTGTCAGAAAGGTTGTGCCTAGGCCTAACGTACTGGAGACAGGGTGTGAAGAATTCAGGGGTGAACACTAGCACCCTTTTCCACCGAGTTCTCTTTCATATATTCAGTAAAAATTGCTCCCTAAAACAACTTTTCCACTTAGCCCTCCATCTTCTATTTATTAAAAATAATTCAACTTTAGTAGACCTTTCTATTCAAGTAGACATTCTTTTGAAGGCATGTTATAAGCAGTAGCTTAGTAGCTTTTGGGGTCTCATAGTCCCTTTATACTAGTGCCTTTAAGAGCAGTGGCAACTCATTTAAAAAAAAATATTTAATGAAGCGCCTAGTTCTACATCCTTATTCAGGTGGGGTCACTATTGCTCTCCTACCAACAAAGCTCCCAAGGACTCTTTTTTGATACAATGGTGTAACATGAAATGTTGGTCTTTATCCCTGCCTCCTGGGATCCTCTGTCTCTCCGAGCTCCTAAAACCTTTGTCCAGTGACTAGGGAATTGGAACTTTCAGCTCCACCCTTTGACTTCTTTTGAGGGGAGAGGTCCAAATTGGAGTTAATCACTAATGGCCAGTGACTCTGATCAGTCATGCCTGGGAATGAAGCTTCTCTGAAACCTTAACCAAAGGGATCTGGAGAGCTTCTGTGCTGGCAGGAGTGTGTCCTGACCCCAAGGGGACAGAAGCTCTTGCACTCAGGTCTCTCCTGGATTTCCTCCTAGGAATCTCTTCATTTGGCACTTTAGCTGTAGGTTTTCTTATACTCTATAAATTTACTTCTAAGTAAGTGTTTCTCTAAGTTCTGTGAGCTACTCTAGCAAGTTATAGAACTTGAGAAGAGGGTTATAGGAATTCTTGACCTTGAGTTAGTTGATCAGAAGTACTGGTCACTATGTAGGATTTGTGATTGGCATCTACAGTGGGGGACAATCTTGTGGGACTGAGCCTTTATCCTGTGGGATCTGCACTAACTCTGGATAGTTAGTGTTGGGTCTAAATTGCAGAATCCCCAGTTGGGATGTAGAGATCTGTAGATTGCTTATATGAGTGGAAAACCCCACATTTGTATCAGAAATGTTGCAGAGAAACACAACTGACTTTTACAAGAGATCAAGAAATCTAGATCTATGGTCACTCTAGAGTGAAAGTAAATCTCTGTGATTATTCAGAGAGATTCCTGAACTCACCAGAAAAGGTGGAATTAATTTGGCCATTTTTCTTGGAAAAAAGAAACTGACATGGAGTCTAATGGGAACTTTCGTTTCAGGTGATGGAGATGTTTTCTTATCTGTATTGCCCAGTAAACATTTGAAATGCGGCTACTGTAAGTGAGGAAATGAATTTTAGATTTCATTTCAATTTAAGTAGCCAGAGGGTACTTAAGGAGCTAGAGGACAGGTCTAGAGCTATTAGGAAGTTGGGGGGAAAGTCTGAATCATGCTACCTTGGGCTAGAAACCAACAACTTGTCCATAATGCTCTGGCAGTTGCGATGGCGAGATGTGGTAGGCTTTTTTTTCCCCCCCCATAAACGAATGTGTCACATAAGGAGAACATTCCACATCAAGGATAATAACCAGTATGTTTATGGAATAAACAGATTTGAACATCTTGTATCATTCAGCTCTCTGAGTTTATTCCTAAAAAGTCCCCTTCTATACAAATGCCAGGAACTATTTGTTACCTGGAACTCTGGTCAGAACAGAAGCAACAAGTTCTTGGACGATCTCATCATTGCTTTTCCCCTCTCCACCAGATGATGACCTTGGCTGAACCTCAAGTATGATGTTGATTAAGGTGTTGGTCTCTTTATGCTATAAGGGTGGGAAAGGATAGAACAATGAAAACACAAATTCTCAAACTCTGCCCACAAAAACAAAAAAAAACAAAACAAAAAAAGCAGTTATACTATGTACAGGTTACTTATAGAAATAAAGGCAGTTAGCAAAAACAAGATATTTTACTTTTTATGTTGCAGATAGAGTTGGTAAAATGTGCCCATTGGAAATGTACATTGTAGGGTTGTTGGTATTCAATTATTTTTGTTGAACACTAATATGGATTTACTGAATGCCAATGAATTGTATAATTAAAGATGGTAAAATGATAAATTTTATGTTTTATATATTTTATCACAATTAGAAATGGTTAAAAAATTAGCCTATCATTTCAAAGGCATTTATAAAAGTGAGGAAGAAAGAATGAGAATGCAGTTTTAGAACATACTTTTATTTAAAATATTTTCCTTAACTATAGAAGATTATGGCTTATTTACTATAGAAGGTTTAGAAACCACAGAAAAGTATGAAGAAGGAATATTCACGATCCTGCTTTGCAGTAATATTTATACCTTTAGTTTACTCCTTCTCTCACTGACATTTTCTTTATGCATGTGCATGTAGTTATACAAAGCACGGAGTCTATACAATAGTGTGTAGTACTGATTCTTTCTCAGTTTATTTTCTCACATCATTGAAAAACATGAATCTGTGTGACATTCGTAGTTGTATGAATGCACCATAATTAATATAATTATTTACTATTTTGGACACATCAGTTTTTAAGATTTTATAACCTCTGTGAGTAGAGTAACTATATAAGAATTTCATCCACTAGTTTTGAAATTCTTCAAATGCCATTACTAAATGCATATTTTTTTTTTTTTAAAGATTTATTTATTTGTGCATACAGAACTGGGGTACAGGCCAGAGGCCCAGGGTTGGTGAGAGGCTTCACCAGAGACAGAGAGGGGAACAGAACAGGCAGATCAATGAAGTACACTGCTGAGGGGAGCAGCGGGTGGGTCAGGAGAAGTCTGCCACACCATGTGGTCACCTCCGGGGCAGGCGGGAATCGAACTCATGCAGAAGCGGCTTTAGATTCTCAGTGCTGTGCTTCAACTCACTGCGCCACCAGGGAGGGCCCTAAATGCATATTTTTAAAGCTCTGTATTACAACATAGGTTTCTAAAAACATTATATCAATTTATATTCTTGGCAATATTGCTCAAAAGTGCTTTTCAAATTTAATAGGTAAAAAATTGTCTTTCATTGTTTTGCTTTTCTTTGAGGATTAACAGTTAAACACTTAAAAATATGTTCATTAGCCATCTGTGTATCTTTATACAATTTTTAACTATTTTGTATTTTTGATTTTCAGTGTTTCTTATTATTGATTTATAGGAAATAATCCTACAGTGAGGATAATATACTTATCCAATTTTTTAACAGTAAAAAACCCATGAATTTTGCCATCTTCATTATTTTTAGCATGCATTTTAGTAGTGTTAAATACAAGAATGATGGGAAGCAACTGTCACTATTCTCCATCTTCATAACTCTTTCCATCTTATAAAACTGAAACTGTTCCCAATAAATAAATAACTATTCATTCTTCTCTCTCTCCAGCCCCTGGCAGCCACCAGCTATGGCTGGCTCTCTGATTCTGATCACTCAAATACTCGTGTGGAGTTACACAGTATTGTCTTTTTTTTTTTTTTAAAGATTTATTTATTCATACAGAACTGGGGTACAGGCCAGAGATGCGGAGGGTGAGAGGATTCACCAGGGACAGAGTGGGGAGCAGGCTCCTCTGTGTTGTGGCATGCTGCAGAATTTCCTGTTCCTTTAAAGTGGAATAATATTGTACTGTGTGTATAGACCATATTTTTATGTTGATAGACATTTGGGTCAGTTCCATAATTTAGCTATTGTCAATAGTGCTGCTATGAACACGGGTGTACAAATATCTATTCTTGTCCCTACTACCCATTTTTTTTTTGGGTATATACCCAAAAGTGGAATTGCTGGGTTATATGGTATTTTTAAGTTTTTGAGGAATTGCCATACTGTTTTCCAAAGTGACTATATCATTTTATATTCTCACCAGCAGTGCACAAGTATTCGAATTTCTCCAGAAACACTTTGCATGATATCTATCTCTTAAAAATGATTGCTGCTGGCCCTCCCTGGTGGCGCCGCGGGTTGGAGCGCAGCACTGAGAAGCTAAAAGCCACTTCCGCATGAGTTCGATCCCCGCCTGCCCCGGAGGTGACCACATGGCGCAGCAGACCTCTCCTGACCCGCCCGCTGCTCCCCTCAGCAGTGTACTTCGTCGATCTGACTGTTCTGCTCCCCGCTCTGTCTCTGATGAAGCCTCTCACCGCCCCTCAGCCTCTGGCCTGTACCCCAGTTCTGTATGCACACATAAATAAATCTTTAAAAAAAAAAAAAATGATTGCTGCTTAGGGCCCTCCCTGGTGGCACAGTGGGTTAATGCGAAGCACTGCAAGCTAGCTGCAGCATCTTCAGCATGAGTGTGATCCCTCACCCCAGAGGTGACCCACATGGCTCGGAAGACCTCCTCTGTCTCGCCCGCTGCTCCCCTCAGCAGTGTGCTTTGTCAATATGCCTGTTCTGCTCCCCGCTTTGTCCTGGTGAATCCTCTCACTGCCCCTGCACCTCTGGCCTGTACCCCAGTTCGGTATGCATAAATGAATGAATGAATGAATGAATGAATCTTAAAAAAAAAAAGATTGCTACTTAAGGTCTGACACATGGTCTTGCTTGGAAAATGTCCCATGCACAGTTAGTTAGCTTTTTGTCTTTTTCTTTTGTTGATTTCAAAAATGTCTTGCTCTGTAAATCTGCCTTTAAATTTTTTATGATCTCTTTGATGGTTGCATCTTTTGGCTCTTCCTAATGTGTTTTCTTTTTCAATTGCTTTTCATGCTTAGAAATTTCTATTTCAGGGTCAGTTAATATTCTCAGTTTTTCTTCTATTCTGACTTCTTGGTTATATGGAAGCATCTTGAAGCATTTAATACAACTGTTAGTTCCTGTGAGAGTAACTGAGTTATTCATGAATCTTTATGTAGCTCTCATGCAGGTCTTGGGAAGGTTATATTTTTGGTCTTTCATGTTTAGATAACCCTGTACCATAAGGCAGGATGTGTATAGCATTGTCTAAGGCCTTTTAGATGTATCTCTTTTCATTTTGGAGAGTCTGTGGCTTTGACACTCCCATCACAACACTCTTCAACCAGTTACCTGACTGAGGAGCTCCAAACCTGGATCCTGGAGATCCTTTTTTTTTAAGATTTATTTATTTATGCATATAGAACTGGGGTATAGGCGAGAGATACAGGGGCAGTGAGGATTCACCAGAGACAGAGTGGGGAGCAGAACAGGCCTACTGACGAAATACACTGCTGAGGGGAGCAGCGGGAGGGCCAGGAGAGGTCTGCCACACCATGTGGTCACCTCCAGGGCAGGTGGGGATTGAACTCATGCGGAAATGGCTTTAGCTTCTCAGTGCAGTGCTTTAACCTGCTGTGCCACCAGGGAGGGCCCTTGGAGATCCTTTTTAGAGCTTTATTGTTAAAATTATATTTCACATGCTTGATATCCTTACAAATATTATTTATGTCCAATCGATTAGGTTAAACACATATAAGAAATGGGATTTTAAAAAATAATATAATAGTTTATTTTTACATCATTTTGTGACTTTTCCCATCTTAGTTGTAATCCCTGTGGGCTTTCCATAACCATATCACCCGTGTGCCATCACCATAGTCCAGGGCACACACCCCTCCCATTTTTGATCTCACTCCTCCCTCCACCCCCAAAAATTTCTCTGGTATATGGCTGGTATATGAACAACTGTTCATTATTATTATTTTTCCCCCTGGTCCTTTATACTCCTGCTATGAGTAAAACCATCCGGTATTTTTCCTTTTCTTTCTGGCTTAAGGAATGGGATATTTCCCCAACATAATGCTATGGTTAAATATTTTGGTTTCCTTATCAGTGTCAGTCAGTTCTCTGTACCACTATAGTTTTGACTTCTTGATTGTATGGAAGAGTCTTGAAACATTTAGTACCACCAGCTTGCTGTTAGTTCCTGTGAAAGTAACTGAGTTGGAGAGTTTTAGACAGCACCCATTCCCAGTTCTCCTCTTCTTTAGAGCATAGCAAAAATCATGGCCTACATGGGTCATGTGACTTTTCTGGTCAATGAAATGTGAGCTGAATTGATGATATTCTGTGTATACAGGCTGAGCAGTGAAAAGTCTATGCATAAGGCTCCAGGTTATCTCTATCCATGCTGCAGTGAATGAAACAGTCATTTGTTCTAGTTAATACAACTCAATATAATAGCACCAATGCAAGATTGGCTCCCTGAATGATTGTATGGAGCAGAATCCAACTGTTAAGCTGTCAACAAAATCTCTGGGTTAAGTCACTGGGATTTGAGTAATTTTTTTTGCTGCTAAGTCTATCTTAAGTAACACAGTATACTATTGTACTTTCTGGGGGTGGGGTGAGCTTGATGCTATCATGACCTTTTTCTTATGTAACTCCAAACTTTTGCTGGATCATGTGCAGGCATAGCTGCATTTTATTTTATTTTTTTTCGATATGGCCTCCCCATCCCCAAACAAATTGCTTCTGTTTCCTAATGTTTTGTTGAATCTCCTTTCATTGTCTTCCTTAGTGATAATCCTCCCTTATCATTTTCTGTTTTTAGATACTTTGACTTATTTTTCTTCAGACTGTATCCAGCTTTATTAAAGATTGCTTCATAATCATGGTATTTCAGGCAAGAAATGGGCAGACAGTCAATAACAATACACAACTTTTAAACTCCTCTCTTCAGTGGACTATCAAAATCAGAGAGCCATACTGAAACCCACTGAAGTCTTCATTTGATGCTCTGGACAGAGGAGGCTTAGAGTGAGAGTTGACACTAAATTTAATGTATTGTTTGAACAACTTTTCACAAGCTGACTTTGACTTTCAGGAAATGAAATGAAAATGGCAGCTTTATCCATCTGAAGATCCACAATCTTAAAAACAAAACAAAACAAAAAAAAAAACCCTCTCTTTAGAGGACTGCTGTCTCAGTGGTGACACTGGAAAGCCCAGATTACCTAGATATACTGAGAAAAACATTTTTGGTGACAGATCTCATCAGATCTCTCTGAGTTGAAGAGAGTCATGTCTATCCTGGGGGCTTAGAGGGAAAAGCAGACATAAAATTGAATTTCATTTCTCCACAAAAGGTGTAAGTGCCAAGGTGGTCAGTGTGTGTCAACATCAAGGGGGAGCCCTCCTCCTGGGAACCAAGAGCAGGCCTCTCAAAACTAGAAGGCAAGAGTTTTCTACTCCACATCCATCCAGCTTCAGAGATATTCTACTAGTGACATATGTCCTTCCTCAAAAACAACAAGGACGTTGTAAAACAAAATTCTACATTTTATAAGACTTTATAAAACTTGTATTTCAGCTGTACAGTCACCAGAAGCACACAGTCATCAAAATGCACACACTGGACTGGGCACCCCAGCACCTTCAGCTTCCTGGGCCTCATCTGTCTCGGCCTGTTTTCTGCAGGGCTTTCTGTCCATGCCAGCAGCAGCTTTATTCCTCTGCTATGTAAGTAGCTTCTCTCCCTTCTTTGCAGGGTCTCTTCAGTTTGGGCTCTGACTTTGGGAGGTTTAGCAGATGACCTTGTGGCTCTCTGTGCTCCTTCACCTTGCTTTTTCTCCTTTAGCAGCCCATCAGCCTTTCTCTTGCCTGTGATGGCAATGGCAGCAGGAAGCAGGTGCCTCTTTAAGACATGCTAGTCTCCATTCTGAAAAGCTTATTAAGTTTGTTCCCTATATCACATATGTGATAATCTATGTATCAGTTTTTAAGCCTCCAACATAGTTTTTAATGCTGCTATGGTATTTTTAGTTTCCTTGATTTATTTTTATCCTTACACATTTCATCTCACACATTTCACTTGAGCCTGTTCTCAATTTCTTACTTTCTCTTTCACCCAGGCTAGATCTTACACCCTCTCCTCCACACTGAAACATTTGTTACTTCCTGGTTTCTGCAGTAGATGATTTACAGAGGGTGAGTTTTCATCTTCTGGGTGGTTTCCTATCCTGTATCCCCTATTTACTCATTCCATCCGCAGTATGGTATCCCTGAATATTTACTTAGCCCCTGTTTGCTTTTTCTTCCTTTTTTTTCAGCCTCTAATGAGAAAAGACACAGTAGATCTGTTTGTCCACATACAGTCAATGCAGATGGCTGCAAATTTCTTCCTGTATCTCCAGAGAGGTGCCTAGGTCAAGGTCTTTTTTTCTTTACTAGTAAGCATCTATGAACATATAACTTGATAGGTTGAGGAAGGAATCAATTATATCTTTTGGGTTAAGATTTTATTGACAGGAAGGGGTAGAAATATCTAGCCAAACCAGCTACCAAAGCAAAAAAATTCTGCTGGCTCTTCCCATGGTTGGGAAGAGGCCATGAGTCACTTGGGTCTCAGGTATGAATGGACTTAACCCACTCTTCTGGTATACCCTTCATTGTTTCTCTCATTATCTCATGTGGCAGATGAGCTTTTTCCACATGGTGGCATGAAGGGGTGAGAGTATCAAGGGTAAGACCTCAGACAGCTGCATGTATACTGTGGAGGGAAAGAGGGAGTCCTCTCATACCCCAGCACTTATATACACTAGCTCAGGAAAGCACTTCCATTCATGTAGTGTGGGCCACATCCCACTGCTTTTTCCTCCTGAAAGCTGAATAAGAAAAAGTAAGATTTTCAAACAACTAGTAACAACAAATGTTGGCGAAGATGTGGTAAAAAAGGAACTCTCCTGCACTGCTGGTGGGAATGCAAACT